CCCCAAAACCCCAAAACCCCAAAACCCCTCCTTTCAATATCTTTATTGATTTAAAATCATATTTATTAACGAAAGAAGATGGAACTGAAGTCATTTTTGCCTCAATCGTGGTGGAAACCTTTTGCGAATATTTTCTATAGTCCAGCCATACCAAAGCTTCATCCATTGCTGAAGCAGACTAAGGAGAGATTTGAGTACTCTTTGGAGGAGTTTGAGGAACTTGATCGTGAAGAAGTCAGAATTCTTACTCTAAATTTGTTCATGAGGCCTCCTGGTGTTAAGAACAACGATGATGATTTTAAAGAAGAGAGATTTGAGGAGTACCTCAAACTTTTAGATAACTATGACATTATCTGTAACCAAGAGCTGTTCACAGGGTTGAATTCGAGGAAAGAGAGATTCATTTCTCATGCTAAGAAACTGGGGTTTATTGACCATGTTGTGTCTACTAAACCAAAACTTTTTGAGCATTTTGTTATTGATAGTGGGTTATGAATAGTAAGTAGATTTCCAATCATTAAAACTGCTGAAATGACTTACTCAAGATATGCTTATTCTGATTCGATGAGTCAAAAGGGGGCTCTTTACGCTAGAATAAAGATAGGGAAGTCTACACTTCATCTTTTTAACACGCATTTGCAAGCTAATTATCTCCACAGCGATTACACCACTTACTCATATAGTATTGATTATCGTGACCATCATCAGCTCCAAGAGCTGAGCGATTTCATTGATGAACAATTAGCTGACGCAGACGACAACTGTAAAATCATGATTGTTGGAGACTTCAACATTTCAAGTAGACCTTTCAGTGAGGCTACCATTGAAGGTCTCCGGGAGTTATCAAAGACATACCCAGAATACAAGAAGATGCTTGATGAAGACTATGACCAACTTGGCGAGTACAAGCATTTAATGAACATGCTTTCAAAGGACGGAAAATATACAGTAATAAACCTGAAGAAGGGCCTTGACCAAGAAGGAGAGACTTTAGATGTAGTAACTTTTGGAGATTATATACAAAATGAAGACGGTTCGAGGTCTCCTGCCGAAGTTGCCCTTACTCATCGAAGTGATTCAATGGTAGCGACTAGTATTGATTATATCTTCCAATTGACTAAGAATCAGCAAGATGTTTCAGGGGATTGTAGTAAGGTCAAGTTAATCAAGAAAGACCCGACTATGGTTAGTGATAGAGAAGAACGTGATTCAAAGAAATTTGAAGACAAGCTTTCGTTTTGGAAACAATTTGAAGGTATCTATGACGGTCAAGAATTATTTATCAATCCTACTTCTCTTAAACAAGAGAAGTTTCTTATCGAAGGGAGAGAATTCACCCAAATGAGTGACCATTATGGCCTGTCTGTTGAAGTAGAGTGGAGAGGTAACAAGTATAGTTAAAATCTCAATTTTTGACAGATTAAAAGGGGTTTTGGGGTTTTGGGGTTTTGGGGTTTTGGGG